GCTATCGTGCCCTCGTCTCGGGACGAGGAGGGTTCCGGCGGCAAGGAGGGCACTCCTTCCTCTAGCGCCATGCCCCCGTGGGAGGGCACTTCGAAGAGGGCGCTGGTGTCTCCTGCGGAGGGCCGCCCTCCGAAGAGGACGAAGGCGCTGGCTTGGAAGATGCCTGCGGGCCTCGCCACCCACTCGAGTTCCGCCTTGGTATCGACCCGGGCCACCCCCCAAGGTGAGGGCTCGGGGGCCATGAAGGGGAAGGAATCGGCCGGGGCATCCGGCGGGGATCCTTCCAAGAGGGCGTCGGTGTCCCCCCTGCCGATACGGGAGCTGTGCTGCGTCCACTCCTGGGCCGACGGCGAGCAGTACCTGTCCCCGAGTATGGCTGGCCTTCCTATCGGGGAGCCCGAGGCCCCCTATGCTGCCCGGTGGTCGACCCTCTGGCCCGACAGTTGTGTCTGGGGAGAGGGGCCTACTGCCTAGGAGTTCATCCGGGGGGTGCTCCACCCGGTCATAGCCAGAGACCTGTATGGCTCCCGCTCCGAGGAGCTGGCTGAGCGGGCGGCCAAGTTGCTCGTCTGGGTAAGTGGTGGCTTCCTTTTCCTACTTGAGCCCATTTTGCCTAGGTGCTGACGTCGACCTTTGTGAAGAACCAGCACTACGGCATGGCACTGGTTGACCGGGTCCTTAATGCCGGGCGCGTGATTGGGCACTAGTTGGAGGTCGACACCGCCCTCCGGAAGGAAAACCTGGAGTTGAGGGCCCGGGGGTGGGCCCGAGGTCATTGCCACGGTTGAGGAGTGCGCCTCTGCATTGGGTGAGGAGGTGACTTGTTTGAAGACCGAGCTGGAAGAAAGCCGGTCACACGTCCAGTCTCTGGATGACGAGCTGCTGACACTTTCCCATGATGTCGAGACTGCCAGGTCCACTGCTTGGGGCACCAAGGAGGCCCTGAAGGAGGAGCAGCTGGGGCTACCCAAGAAGATCGAAGAGGCGATCGCTGGGTACAAAGTATCCGCCAGGTTTGAACGTGGCCTGGTGCGGTCAGGGTGGGCCACGTACGAGTACGGGTACCAGGTGGCTTGCGCTCGCTTCCGGGCGAAGTACTTGGAGTTGGAGCTCAAGTCGGATCCCTTTGCCGACAATCTGGCGGACCAAGACGTCGACATGCCGGAGAGCATCCCCTTTGATGATGGGCCCGAGACTCCCCCCTCGAGGCAAGGGTCGTGCTTCCCTTCCTTCTCTCTCTTCTTTTTTTTTTTCTGATCGAGTTTGGTGTTGTCCCACCCGACCTTTTCATGTAATGCCTCCTTTTGCCAAGAAATGTTTTCATTTTGAAATTCTGCCTTGGGTTTTTCCCGGCTGTATGTGTATGTGCTTCACATGTCTTCCCTACACCCCGACCCGCTTTTCTCACGGGTAGAATTTCTTTAGGTTTGCTGCGTTCCAAGCTCTTGGCAGGGGGCTTCCCTCCAAGGTTTCGAGTCGGTATGTCCCCTCTCGGACGACGTCGTAGACCGATATGGTCCTTCCCGGTTAGGCGCCAGCTTCCCTCTTGCTCGGATCGGGTCGCTCAGCTCGGCCCTTCGAAGGACGAGGTCCCTGACTTTGATCGGCCATGGGCGGACCTTACGGTTGTATACCTGGGCTATTGCTTTTTTGTATGCCAAGGCACGCAGATGTGCCTTGGCTCTCCTTTCTTCGAGGAGGTCTAAGTTTGCTCGGAGGCCTTCCTCGGAAGCCCTATGTTCGTAATTGGAGGTGCGTAGGGTCGAGAACACCATCTCGAGCGGAAGGACCGCCTCGGTCCCATAAGTGAGGCTGAACGGAGATTCTCCCGAGGCGGTTTTGCGAGTTGTCTGCATTGCCCATAAGACGCTGGGAAGCTCCTCCACCCAAGTTCCATGTGCACCCGAGATCCTCCTCTTGAGGCCTTCTAAAATCGCCCGGTTCATTACCTCGGTTTGGCTATTGGTCTGGGGGTGCGCGACAGAGCTGAACTTTAGCTGGATCCCATACGATTGGCAATAGGCCTTGAATTTGGCATTGTTGAATTGAGCTACGTTGTCAGTGATGATAGCCTTCGGGATCCCGAACCGGGTGATTATGTTCTTTCATGTGAAGCTTTGGACTTGCCTCTCGGTAATGGTGGCCAAGGGTTCGGCTTCGACCCACTTTGTAAAGTAGTCGACGCCGACTATAAGAAAGCGCCGCTGTCCCGATGCTAGTGGGAAAGGTTCGAGAAGATCAAGCCCCCATTAGGCGAAGAGCCAGGCTGCGTCTATCGGGGTAAGGGGGACCGTCGGTTAGTGTGGCAGTCAAGCGTGCCTCTGGCATTGCAGGCACTGTTGTACATATGAAAGGGCGTCCCCGTGCATGGTTGGCCAGTAGTATCCCTACCGAAGAATTTTGAAGGACAAGGTTCGTCCCCCGATGTGCTCCCCACAGATCCCCTCGTGGAGCTCGGCGAGGACCGTCTCAACTTCCGATGGCGCGAGGCAGCATAAGAGAGGTTGAGAGAAGGCCCTTCGGTATAGCCTCCCACTAACAATGTAGTACCAGGCTTGGGTTCACCTCAACCGTCTCGCGGTCGTCGAGTTCCCTTCCGTCCATCTTGGAGCGGAGGATTTCCTCCATCCAGTAGGGCAGTAGACCTATTTCGGTGACCTGGTGAGTCGCCACTATTGGTGTCGTTATGGACTCAATCGCTGGGACTGACGCCAAGTAGCGAGCGGAGGTCGTCCTGGCTAGTGCGTCGGCCCGCACGTTTTGCGCTCGAGGTATTCTAACGATTGAGAGATGGTTGAAGTGGTGGGAGAGTCGCTTCGCTTCCATGAGGTATAGTGCCATCGTTGGGTCACGGGCTTCGTAGCTCCTGTCGACATGTCCCGTTACCAACTGGGAGTCGCTGAAAACCTGAAGGTTGACCACATGCATCTCCAGAGCGAGGCGCAGGTCGTGAAGTAACGCCTCGTACTCAGCCTCGTTGTTGGTGGCTCGGAATTGTAACTAGAGTGACCTCTCGTAGGTTTCCCCCGATGGGTCCTTGAGGATAAGCCCGATGCCAGCCGCTCCGATAGTGGACGAGCCGTCCACATGCAGGGTCCATGTGTTCTGGTTGTTGTCCTGCCCCACGTCAAGGTCTTCAGGAGTTAGCTTAGAAACGAAATCAACCAGTACCTGAGCTTTGATGATAGTCCTGGGGGAGTATTGAATGTCGAATTCGTTGAGCTCGATCGACCATCGCAGCATACGTTCTGCTGCGTCGAAGTTGGAAAGGATCTGCCGTAGTAGTTGGTCGGTGATCACTTTGATCGGGTTGGCTTGGAAGTAGAGTCGTAACTTTCGGGCCGTTTTCATGAGGGCGAGAGCTAGCCTCTCGATCGGGGGGTATCGCGCCTTTGGCCCGACGAGGATATGGCTGATATAATATATGAGCTGTTGAGTAGGTGGCTCCTCCCGGACCAACACTGAGCCGATTGCTTGTGGCAAGGCTGCCAAGTAGAGACTAAGGGTTTCGCCCGGTTTGGGCGAGGTGAGTCAGGGTAAGTGGGCAAGGCACGCCTTTAGCTTTTGGAAGGCTTCCTTGCACTCCGAGGTCCACGTAAAACTGTCAGCCTATCGCAGAGCCCGAAAAAGGGGGAGGCACTTGTCGCCTGATCGTGACACGAACCAGCTGAGCGCCGCCATCCTCCCAGCAAGTTGCTGTACCTCCTTGATCGAGCAGTGGAAGTGCATTTCGGCTATGGCCCACACCTTTTTCGGGTTGGCATCTATCCCCCTTTGGTGAATGATAAAGCCGAGAAACCTCCCTAAGCTAACTTCGAAGACGTACTTTGCCGGATTTAGACGCATGTTGAATCGCCGGAGTGTCTGGAATGTCTCCTCCAGGTCGGTTAGGTGTGCACTTGTGGCCCTGCTCTTTACGATCATGTCATCCACGTATACCTCCATATTCCTTCCGAGCTGGTGTTTAAAAAGTTTGTCGACCATCCTCTAGTAGGTTGTGCCGGCGTTTTTTAGGCCAAAGGGCATTACTTTGTAACAGTACACTCTTTTGTGGGTGACGAAGGCTGTGTCTCCTTGATCCTGAGTTGCCATTCGGATTTGGTTGTAGCCGGAGAATGCGTCCATGAACGTAAGAGCTCGTGGCCTGCGGTGTCGTCGACCAATTGACCCACCCTGGGGAGCGGATAGTAGTCCTTGGGGCATGCCCGGTTGAGATCGGTATAATCAACACACATCCTCTAGCTTCTATTAGATTTCTTAACGAGGACTACATTCGACAGCCATTGAGGGTATTGGACCTCGGTAATAAATTCGACCTTTCTAAGGTGGTTGACCTCGTCACTGATTGCCTTCAGTCAGTCGGGAGCAAACTTCCTCGGTCTTTGTCTCACCGGCCAAGCCTCGGGGTCGATGTTGAGCCGGTGTTGGGCTACTTCCGGGCTGATCCCGGGCATCTCCTCGGGGGATCATGCGAACATATCGGCGATCCTCCTCAGAAAGTCTATGAGGTGGAGTTGGTCCACCTTGGGAAGTGCAGTTCCGACCTTAACGGTCTGGTCAGGTCGGCTCTTTTTCAATGGTACCTCGATGAGCCACTCGAGAGGCTCCAGTAGCATTGGTGTTGTGGGTCCTTTGCGGGGGTTCGGGACCTAAGCGAGGTGCGATTTTCCTGGGAGAGTGACCGCTGCGAGATAGCACCGCCTCGACTCCCCTAGGTCGTTGCGGGCCTCCCCGATCCCCTCCGAAGTCGGAAACTTGACAGCCCGGTGATAGGTGGAGACCACCGCTTTTAACTTGTTCAGCGTCGATCGACCGAGGATGATGTTGTAAGCCGAGGGGAGGTCAACTACCATAAAGGTGGTTATCATTGTCTTCACTCTTGGTTCCTCTCCAATGGTGACAGGGAGGGCCATAGTCCCGAGCGGGGATATAGGATCCCCTATGAATCTCGTGAGTGCGGACACCATGGAGGTGAGGTCTCCCTTGGTCAAGCTGAGCCTCTAGAAGGTGTCGAAGTAAAGAACGTCGGCGTAGCTTCCGGTGTCGACCATCACTCTTTTTACTCGAGCGTTGGCGACCTGGATAGAGATTACCAAAGCATCATCATGGTGGGAGTGCTCGACTTCTCTGGCCCCGAAGGTGATTTCAGGCTCGATCTCGGGTTGGGGATGTTTCTTGACCGTGCTACGAGCGTAGGCTTTTCTCGCTGCAGAGCTGTTGTCGCTAGCCGCAAGCCCCTCGGAGATGACGTCGATTTGTCTTTCGACGAGTTCCTTGGGGCTCAGAGTAGCTTCCCGGGGTTCCTTGAGATAGCGCCCGAGGTAGCCTCTGCGGATCAACCCCTCTATTTGGTTCTGGAGGTCATGGCAGTCCTCCGTATCATGGCCGTAGTCTAAGTGGATCCTGCAAAATTTAGATTGATCCTTGTGAGTGGCCCTCATGGGACGTGGATGTCGCAAGAGACCTTTTTCCCTAATTTGGAGGACGATCTCTGTGCGGGAGGCTTTCAGGGGAAGAGGCGGGGGCCTCGAAAGTAGCTCTTGTCGATCAAGCCCCCGGCGGGGTGGCACCAAGTTTGCTGAGGTTGATCCCCGGGGTTGTTCCACCCTTGGCCTCTTGCCTTCCATACGCTTCCCTGCCACCAACGCTTCAGCGGCGACGTACTGGTTGGCGCGCTGGAGCATTTCGGAGATGGTCACCGGCGGCTTTTCGATGAGTGACTAGAAGAACCTTGAAGGCTTCAAACCCATTAGAAATGCCTACATGATTAGAGAGGGGTGAGTGTCCGGGAATCCCAAGATCTTAGTGGCAAAACACGTCATGAATTGAGAAAGCGGCTCGTCTTCGCGCTAGGATAATGCGAGTAGGGTGGCCATGGAAGGCCTAGGTTGCACGCTGGCGAGGAAGTTTTGTTCGAACTCCCTGGCAAGCTGGTCGAAGGACGAGACTGAGGATTGATGTAGGTGGCTGAACCACACTCGCGCCAGTCCCCTCAGGGTGGTCAGGAATGCCCGGCACATTAATGCATCAGAGGTGCCATAGAGGGCCATCTGAGCCCGGAATGTAGAGACATGCTCCGCGGAGTCGGAGCCATCATCGTACGCCTCTAATGCCGACAGCCTGAAGTTGAGGGGTACTGGCTTGTCTTGTACTTCCTGAGTGAAAGGGGACCCGCTTGAGCCGTCATCGTTGGACTTGCTCCGCGACTTTCAGAACTCATGCTGGAAATCATCCAAGTGTTGATTGACCCGGGATAGCTGGGCCCTAAGTGAGTCATCCGCCGAATTAGATGATATGGTGTCAGGCTCGAGGTGGGGTAGGGTGACTCGGTAGGTTGTGGGTATGCTTTGTCTGGGTGGACTTCTCGGGTCCGTTGCTTGCTCTTGAGCTTCTCCAGTCCCGACTTGCTCCCCGCTCGGCCCCTACTGGGCTGGGTTAGTCGGGGGAGTCGCTAGTCGCACGATCCGAGGAATAAGCGGAGTGAGAGACTGCATCATGCCCGCCATGGCTTGCAGTTGCTTGGACAGGTCGAGGAATGCCTCGAGTGTAACAGCGGAGGGTCCTGTGATGAATCCGAGGGGCGACCACCCCGGGTCGATGAATAAGCGCCAGTAGCGATTTGGTGTTGAGGTCAGAATCCTGCCATCTCCGGGAGCGGAGAGGACTTGACTTTCAGGTTGGATGGAAGGGAGGTTGGCGTGTGGTTCTCCCGGTTGGGGGGGGGGGGGGGGGTGGCTTCGACCAGATGCTCGTGCAACATGAATCTCCTTCTAGCGCCAAAATGTTAGTGATCAAATGCGTCGTGGCTGGTGAGTCAGCACGACCTGGTCCACGGGTTAATGTCGGGAGCTTTTTGTAGGGTGATTCGGATGATGAGGTACTCGGGCTCTCGGGAAGAGGTGCTGGTTAGCATTGGTCAGGATCAGGGCTGATCGACGACTCCTTGGTGCCGGGCGGATCGTGCTTCCGTGCCGAGTCCTTCACCCTCGATGAGTGGTCGCCCTCCTACAAAAATGGCCTCCGTTGGGTGGTATCTGGCCGTGGCCCCTCCGACGAGCAAGTTAGTAATGAGTGGGATTGCCTTTTCCTTGACTTTTTTTGTCCTCCTGGCCAGGGGTTTTATACTTTGACGAGAGGGTTGAGGGCGCATTGATTTGGCATCGCCGCTTGTCCCCGAGGGATGGGACGGCCCTTTTGACTGGTCACCGTGCTGGGGCATGTAGTGCGGTGTCATACGACATCGCCCCGAGCTCTCGGGATGGGACGTGTGGTATATCTTCTTAGTACGAGCTCCCGGGACGAGACGTGTGGCGTGGGGCTCTGACTCGGTGTCTGTGTCGCTGTGACGTGTTCAGACTACCAAAATATACCATATCAAGTAACACTTGTTTTTCAGGTAGATGGCATGATTTTGTGAGCTCAAATTGGGGAATACGGTGGCAACTTAACTGGGCCATCAATTGGTGATAGATAGAATAGAAGATAAGAAGATCATCAATTGGTGATTGATAGAATAGAAGATAAGAGAATAGAAGATAAGAAGAATTATTAAACAGGCTTTAATGAAGAAGCTTTATTAAAGAAGCTTAGCTTGAATGCATTAACATGTCCCTCTCCTATTTATACATACAGATTAGGACCAATGGTGCTCTGTCAGATCGATGCAAAACAAATTGTTTATGAGCCAAAGGCTTTGTGAGTAGGGCAAGAGCAGATTGCTGCTACTGCTGTTGCTATTGCTATGGCTATGACAGCGACAGCGGCAACTGCGACTGCGACGGTGACGATGACGATTGCAATAGAAGAGAAAGCTATAGCAATGCTATAGCAGAGGAAGAAGAAGCAGAGGACAGCAGCTTGGGAGAAGAGCAGATCACTACTGCTGCAGCTACTGCGGCTAGGATGGCGACAACGACACTTCTCGAGTGAGATACAGGAACGAGGAGGAGAGATCGCTGGTCGAGGAGTAGTTGCAAGGTTGCATCGGCTCTGCTTATGCAGGAAGAGACAGAGGAAGTGCAGCAGTAAAGAATGCGACCGGCGTAGGGAGGTGTTAGGACTCTAGCTTGGAGAGTCCTAA